AATTACATTTCCCCAGAGTCAAGTTTTCCACCAAGTATATGGGATCAATTCTTCACTACTTGAAACAGAACTACGAATAGATGTGAGTGTTAGCATTCTAAACTCAACAGTTGTTTTTATAGTGGGCACTCAAATATTTAACTGTTTATAGATGAGCTGTTAGAAATGCAGTTGGAAACTTATATAAAATATGAAGGAGCAATAGGACTAAGAAATCTAAGAAAAACCAAGAAAAGACAATTTTTTTTAAGCTAAGTGATATCACGGTATGCTGGTAATCTCATTACTAAATATCAAATTTAAAAGACAATGTGTTATACATTTTTACCAAATAATATTTTTTTTTTAATGGTAATTTTTTACCTAATTACTAAAATGTTTAATAATAATTTTTACCTGATTACTATTAGATTCTGAGCGGAGCGATTAATGTATTTTTTTTTTAATTACAATTTTTTAAATCAATAATAAATAATTAATAAATTAAAATATGAAAAAAACTAAAAAGAACAAAATTTTTGAGAAACTTGTCAGCCAAAGCCAATCTCCTCGTAGTGTTTCTTGGGTTGCGCTAATAGACTGAATATTTGAATGGATATTAAAAAAAAAATTATAATGACCTGGGAATCAACTCAATAGTATCGGTACAGGTAAACAGATACCTGGAAATCAACTCGTATGCAGTCATCGAATGTAACGTTGTATAATACATTAAATAAAATATTATAGGCTGAAGAGAATAATAATATTTATATGACACGAACGCTGAATATTTACATTCAATACACCCAGAGTCAGAACTCATCAATATTTGGTAGCAATTCCTACTCATCACAATGGAAAAATATTTTTGATCAAAACTTTTGACTAACAACAAATCATTGTTTTAAATATTTGGTTTGTAATTAAAGTGTTTTGAATACGTATTGAGTTTAAAATCGATAAGCACAAAAAAGTTTTAGTATCTACCGGTTCGCCATTGTTTGTAGGGTGAATAAAGTTTAGAACTTGACGTGAAGAACTTAAATATATTGATTGGCTATTTAAATGTATGTATATACTACGAAATAGCACGTTAATGTATAATATAGATATACAGTACTTTACCTATATACATGCGTGCTGTAGATTCAAGGGAACACTAATTACGAATATTATACACATCATATACGTTTTAAAGTTCTTTAAAATAGTCAATGAATACGTTATTTCAAATTTTAGTCTAAAAATAAATAAAAATAATCTTGGTTTATATATAAATATAAGTAAAAAATAAAATGTAAAAATCAATGTACAACGATTAGACAATTTAAAATCATTCCGTTTTAATTGTATGATAGTGAACGACAAAAACACAATTAAAACTTACTCCGTTACACCATATGTATCGATAAACTATGTGTTTTCCAGTACAATACGATGATATATCATTACGTTTTATTTTATTAATATGTAATAACTAGGTATACTATTTAATGTCAATAATTCAAAGAGTTTCGGATACCAAAAAGTTTGACAATTCAGGATCAGGATATAACGAGAGTACATTAGATCTGTACATTTTTTATTTACGTATATCTGTACTGTTACGAAAAACAAAATGCACCACAAGCTCTTAAGAAACCACGATAACTTCGCATCACAATATATATATATATATATATCATATTTAAGGAGCACACAGCACATATTATTGTATTAAACTATAATTAAGATCTCAATTACTCCATATAGCAGCCATAAATGATCTGATATTATAATATTATGGATCGATACGTCAAATTCACACCGGCGTGTTAATTAAAATGCCGATAGTACAAAGCGAACGAAAATAAAAACTACGGCCGCTATATGAGTTTGTCTTAATCACAGTGTAAACATTTAAATCAAAACTAATCGAAAAAGAAAGTCATAACTGGCACAACACTCGTTGTAACACGAATTTTAAGCATAGTAAACGCTGAAATGTTGTGACCTATCTTGTAATAAAATCTACTTATAACAATCTCGTGTCTATGTCATGTCGATTGAAGTGATCATATAATTAATTATGGTCCCATTTCATTGCACGTATGTGTTTAATATAATAAACACACTCACATAACACAAAAGTGACCAATTATTATGCGCAAGATATATATTTTTTAGGATGCCAAATTGAATACATAAATGGGTAAACAAAAAAATATAGCATAATATAGTATTAGATACCACGTTTAGCTGTGGTGTAATATTTTATTGCAAAGGTATTCAAACTTTTTCATCCTGCGGGTCTTTTAGATGTTAAAAATATTTTGATGGCAACCAAATTATCATGAAAAAATTGAAACAACACACAGAATACAATATGGCCAATATGACGTTATATGAATGATGATAACAGTGACTTAATTACTAATAATAAAACTTCAAATGATCGCGTCGTAAGGTGTGTTATTTTAATTTCTATAATGGTTGCAAATAATATTTATAATAATTATACTATGCCAAGGTATGATGTGGTTTCCGGTGCTTTGACGCGGTTCTCTTTGCAAACTCTCGCGGCGCCGCTGGGAGCCGCGACGCATAGTTTGAATACCTCTGTTTTATTAAATATAATCATATTGACATTTTATCAAAAACCACTCGCAATTTGGAAAAAAATTAAATTTTTTAAAGGTATATATTTTGCTTAATTTGAAATCATTGTAAAACAAAAAGTATTTAAAAAAGAATGATAATTTTATTTTACAGTCTAAATTTTTACAATTTTCACTTTTTGAATGACAACATACTCGTAGGTACATTTTTATTTTAGAATATTTTGTGAAATATCCATGTTATACTCCATTTTTCCAAACATTGAATTCGACTTACATATAACTAATTAACAATTCGTCCGAAGTTCAATTTAAATAAAACATATTTATAAACAAAAATACTTTGCTTATTGTAATTTAAAAAAAAAAAAGTAAGCTGTAAAGTTGATAATGACGATAAATATATACATTTATTATGACTTCAAATGATGTGAAAAAATACTTTCAATTACGTCTAGTCACTTTTTGATCTAATTAAAATGTTTACTCTTGAATAAATCACCATGTATAAGTGAACGTTAAAAGTTTATTGTATTCCAATAATCTGTATAACGATATGAGTACATCTATAATGCATGCCTATGCGCGGTTTTATTGAAATCTAATCGTTCCAACGGAGATGAATGATTTCCAAAAGAAAAGATTTTTAAGTTTCAACAGCGCGTTTGCGGGAGCACTGCGAGTCTATCTAAAAACTTTTAGGCATTATAAATATATTATGATTGACGTGAAGTTATCGAACGCGAAAAATCCTACAGTAACCGAATTCCACAATATTCACTCGATTAGAAAAACTTTGTAATCTTCAGTTATTGCGATGTATAGCTAAAGAAATTGATTGATGTGTAACCATCATGTTTTGCAGTGAATCATAATAACAAATTATCAATAAAAAACTAAAATAATACATCAATCACTTTGGTACTGTATCATCATAGGTTTTTAATAAAATTCATATTATATATATATATGTACCTAATTGTACATAGTCGGTGTAAGCTGCAACTACAGATCAACAGATCGATTCAAAATATTTGGAGATAAACGAAAAATAAGTGTAACTATATGATAATTGTATGAAATTTTTCTTTACTTTTTATTTTTTACAACGATTTTAGAACACAATTGCCTCTATATTATTTTAATAGCCGAATTCGTGACGAGGTATTCTGGGTACAGATAATAATATTACGTCAATAACACCGAAACGGTATTTTTAGGATATTATTTCCACGGTATACTATCGTACCCTAGCTAGCTCTCACTCGGAATCATCATTCACCCGTTCAATTTTGTATCACTCTGTAAGTCACAATTCTACCCGTGTAAATGTAAAATAATAGTTGATGACATCTGAACGATTGTGAAATTATAATATATATATATATATATATATATATATATATTAACCATATGACACATTTTAATTTTAAGCGATCTGGAACGAGGGGGGATAAACGGTGAAAAGTAATGGGTTTTAGGCTTAATGAATATCTAATGAACGTTTTCAAAAAAAGCGACAAAATCTGAACGATAAAATCCACGGTGAGGTGATTTCGAAAACAATACAATTTTCATATATCAGTTTGTTGAATACTGTAAATAGTATACTAAATGTAAAGTTGACTACATATATCGTTAAAATGCACAAGTCAATATGATAAATTATTAAATATGCTGATAATTTAATATTCTATATTGCAATTTACTATAATCAATACCTTGAGGTTTATAGGACCCTTTTTTTATATAGCCAAATTAGACGCCACTTCTATGACTGTGTTAGATTCCATATTATAAATTTAACAAGATTCATGTAATAATGGTTCTAGCACAACAATAACTATATGGGTAACACTTAATACAAAAAAAWAATTAGAATGATATTTTATGTACAATCTAACAGACTCAGCTAAATTTTTAAAAGAAAAACATCAACATATTATAACATTATAATATTATATTATAGTGCATTACCTATTCTATATAATAATTTTTCGTCGTTCACGTGAATTTAAAATAATTATTAAATAATATTATATGTGCCTACACATTATTTTATTCAAAAATATTGTTTTCCCACGACATCGCCAATCATAATAATATACAAAAATAATTTGAAAAAAAAAAAATAGAAAAATAACTATGCGAGTTTGGACACCTAAACGGATCGTCTTTTTATACAATATACGAGTTGCTGCACGTTATTCATCGAGTGATTTTTGCAGAAGATGATGAAAAGGAAAACAGGAGCCGTGCCCGGAGGCTCGCGCAGATAGTGCACCGATCGTTGAAAAATGTGACTATAAAAATAAAAAGGGGGGAATGCGCAGGTGAATACGTTGCGGCGACGACAGCGGCTTCGGTTTCGGCGAGTGTGCGACGGGCGCGCAACAGTGTTCAAAAGCTCTGCGCGCCGACCACAACCCGCAGTGTTGGTACGCGCCCGGTCGAGTTGTTTATTTCATTTCTCCCGTTGGAACTTTAGTTTTCGGTATTTTTCGTCTTGTTTTTCCCTCCTCCTCCGAAAATCGGACAACATCCGTCGATTGCATACATACATCCGCCGAAAATTGTGCACTCGTCCGTKGCACACCCGCGTCGTCGCTCGTTCGTCTCCGAAATATTATCGTTTATCGCGCAACCTTCGACTTTTTGCATTGCGTGTCATTTTTTATCGTCACTTGATCAGAAGACGGAATAGATCGTTGCCGACCACCACCATGCACGCAATGGTCTTGTTTTGAATCGTATACACAATAAAAACGAAATAACGTTTAAAAAAGTCTTTGAGCACCCCCATAACTCACAACCATCAGCGTTCGGCCGAAAAAATAMCAGAAACTGATTTTGATCGTTTCACCGCAAACAACGGAACCCGTAAGTATATAATTTTKTTTTTGTATTTTTTTTTTGTCTATTATATTATATCTTTTTTATATCTAAAAATATGCAGTTTCAGTACAATAATCTGAACTTAGTGACGTTCAGTTTAATATTTATATAATTCATAACATGACATTGATGGTCAGCGTGTTATTCATATTTATTATTGAATCGTAAATATTATAATTTAATTATGAAATAAAATATTATGGTTGGGTTAACATAATTCGGTCACATGCTTAATGTAGGTAAACAGTTTTACCGGTGGTTTTAATAAAAATTCTCCGGGATGCGGATTAGTATTATAATTTATAGTGTATATGTCTTTATGGCGTGGAAACGTCTTCGGAAGTAAGTGCCCATAAAGCTAAAAATAACCATAATTTAAAAGTAAAAATAAATATTGAACCAACCGTTATAAATATGTTTTATTTAAATATTACAAAAAAAAGAAAGTACACCAATATAATACGCAAATTTTTAAGCAACAGTWCAATACCAATGAAAAAATATTAATTTTAGTTGGATTAAATTGTTATGCAAATTGCACCTAATTGCATTGATTTTATTCTAAAATAATCTTATTTACATGGTAAGATATTAATTCATTCAATAAAATTATGCTTTTCAAGTAGTAGTAGTATTGTAGTAACATGTACGAAACTGAACTTGATAAGATTGCAAAATAATTGCCTTGTTATTTTGTTGTATGTACAACATAAATGACAGGCAGATTTGTAGTTTTAATACTATTTGAAGTTTAGTCAAGACGTGTAGTATGTTTTTTATAGATCATAAAAAATATTACATTTATCCATACCTCACAAAAGTTTTAAACTATTCAAATGTTCTATATATAACTATATAGAAATCAGAACTATTAAACTATCTACACTCAATATTTTTTAGGAACAACTTTTTCATGTTTTTGATAATTTTGTGTAAACAGGGTTATTAAAGTGTTACGTATCAATATTAATATATGCGGATGAACAATTAGTTTTTAATAACCCTGCAAAATTCCAAAATTAAACTAACGTATTACGATAAAATACAACTTTAACGATCTGTAGCTTTTACAACAATTTTATGTACTGGTTCTATCAATACATTGTTTCTATATCTTATAAAATAGATTTCAAATTTCAATAGTTATGTGAATAATCATGAATAATCATGAATAATGTCTAAATAAAAGTATATTTTTTCGTTTCACATACTAAATAGCAGTTAGTKATTTTCTTATGACTTGACTTGTACAGAATTTTTGATGAATTTCATGCACTTGAGGTTGATAAAAGATTTATTTTTCCTTTAAAAACTACGCACTTGTCACAAGGTATAAGTATTACGAAATCACATCACAATTTATTACTTCTTTTCTAAAAGTAAAAAGATCTGGTAAAAAATAAAAATAAATTGAAAAATGGTTTGTAARCATTATTTATGAAAAAAGTGGGTTGTTATWCATGCATTTTTAATAAATACAAATTTAAGCACAGACGTTTCAAAGAAGTATATGACATATACCTGTTTGTAAGACAACAGTCAATAAAATAATTTTATTTCTAAATACATTGGATAGCGAAACATCGTCGTARATTATTTAGGTCTTTATTTTTACCTCGAAAGTTAACAATACAAATTTACTACACAAATGATAAATATATGATTATCCTGAAGTTTATTTCGAGTTTACATAGAAAAGACAAGTGTACGGTGTAGTAGGTGCGCAATTAAGGCGAGCGCAGACACGCGATAACAATATGGCGTTAAATGCAATCGCCTACTCGTTTCGGGTAGGTACACATRTAATATATCGCATGCTCCATTAAACAGTCGAAAAATGAACACTTTATTTTAAAATCATTCCGACTGAACTACTGAAGTATAATATCTCAGGAACCGCAGTTTATGTTATATACTAGCGAGCRTGCGCGTATGTATTTATCCGTTTTAATTTTACATYATCTTTTGGCTCGGGTTCGTTTTTTTTCTTTTTCTTAATTTATATCATAATTTTTCGCAGATATGGCTGGTTTTCGACGAAAAGTGTGTCCGTCGAGAGACGAGATTTGCATACATGAATACAAGCTTAAGCATTGATTAAATTTCAATTAACGTCGAAAATGTCCATTTAAGTGTACCTATACCTATGAGAGAAGTATAATCACGGTCGCATGGTTGGCCCGCATCGCGGACTTCTATGATTCCTCTAGTGTACGGCCAACTTCAAAGTTTTTCTTCGTGAAAACTTTTCACACACTTTATACTTACCCCCCCCCCTCCTCAACTATCCCGTCTACCCATCTCACAACAAAATACTTCACACTTCGCATACGTATTTTTGAACATCTCTCGGCCTTAGTTATAGAGAGATAGATATAGACACAGAATAACAAATATACTTCCTGAAAAAAATACGGGTGCGGAAAGAAAGCAAGACAGAACGCGCGTGCGAAGAAATTGATTCTACAGGATTTGGGAGAAAACTATGATACTTAATCGGTTAAGTACATACTGCCCATACTGGGCTGTCAAAAGGTTTGTCTCGGACGATTACGCATCTTTTACATATAAATATATAATATAATCATACCATATAGGTAGGTATATCTCATCCGATGAGATAAACGAGGCACAAACCTGAAACTGTGTCAGAGGGTAGAGAAACAAAAATGCGTATACGAATATTTTATAATTTTATAATTTAATATAGGTAATATAATAATGGACGGTGCAGTATTCGTTTTCCGAGTTTACGACGGGTGTAGCAAAATAAAAAAAATCGCATACATTATCATACACGTCGTGTTGTTGTGCACCTATACATAGGTATGTGAYATACACGGCTTATAATATGATATCGGCAGAGGGTTGACGGACGAGACATATTATGCACACGAGTTCAACACGTGTGAGAGATAATACGTACAAAAACCACATACGTCACAACGACAATATATTTATATTATAATATTATTATTATTTGAATGGTGCGGAGCGTGTAGTATTTGACGCATTTCGGAATCGTTCATAATCCGGAACTTTGAGTGTACCTACWATTTTTTTATTTACCGAATTGTATTATTCGTTTATTATATTGTTATATCATGTTTTTAACATACCCGTATTGTTGAACATTGATCACATATATTTTATACKTCACATTATGACGTATATTATATTAATATTACCAATATCATAATAATTTAATAATAATAATAATAATTTTACAATACAGAAATCATATATACGTCATATTAAAATATATTATATGTATCGTGAATAAAGTTATTTTAAAATATAAATAATAAAATATTCATCCAAGTTGATAACACCTAAAAATCCGATCATATCGAATTAATAATCCTGAAATCCGGAAATCGTATATACATTTATATGTATATCATATTATATTTTTCTCGGATCGTTAAGTTGAACATTAAGACAGTGTATGGCAGATTATGCCTTGAACACGTATTAATAATATAAATTATTAGATAGCTTTATAGACATGATATTTTTTCCACAATGATTAATTTGCATGAAACAGAATAATTTGAATATAAATTGACGGATATCCTACGATGCGCGTCACGTGTCCACACACCTCGACAAAGGTCTACTCGAAATGTCTCGACTGGTCTGTGTAATCAAATAGTTAGGTCAATCGATGCACGCACGTCTCGTCGTCTGACAAACTTTTGCAATTATATACACCGACCAGCCCAGCCACCGTGACGACGCAAGTGTAGTCCTATTGAAAAATTTCGATGAGATCCGAAATCATGTTTCTTACGGTGCTTGTTTGTAATTATATTTTACTGAATGATAGTCGAATAAATAAAAGGCGGTTGCAAACCTCGGCGGACTTAAATTCGGAGATACGTGTAGGTGGTGGTAAGATAATTGCTTTACAGCTAATTGCAATGTTGCGGATTAAAAYTGTGCGCAGCAATATTCGTAAGTATAATTCAATCAGCCGTAGATTAATTRGTGGGRAGAAGAGAAGGGAGGAGTGTTGTGTTAATTTATCTTAATTTATTTATTGATATTGCATCGATAAACTTTGGAAAACTTCTCAGTTCAATTATACATACAATTCTATAAATAGCAGTCAAATACTACTATATACTGCTGCTGCTACTACTACTACTACTACTTTTTTTTTATCTTATTATCACCGAACTCGGAGGAGAACTGTCTTTGCTTAGCTTTCCCGCCGAGCCGCCATCTTTTATTTCCATCTCAATTAACTTTATACATAAACACATTTTCCTAATACTAAACATTCAATTATATATATAGTAAAAAAGAAAAAGACTCAAAACACAGGATCTTAATTTAACAATGTCACACGTCTGTGCTTTGCACCTGGAAGGAATTTAGCTCCTCAGCTTTTCCTCTTCTTCTTTGGTCCTCAGGATTAAAGTTACGTATCGTTCCACCGTTTCCTAGTCACCCTTGTTTTGTAGCATGAATGGTATTATTGTTTCTGGAGTAACGACTTGTTTGACCGCGACTTCCAGATCTGCTAGCTTCCTTGCCCATCGATCGCATTTGAAGAACGTGCGTTCTACGTCATCAGTAGCATCCCAGCAGGAAAGGAAATGTGCACTTTCTGCTAGGGCAAACCTATGTAGATATGCCTGAAAAAAGCCATGTCTCGTCAACATCTGAGTCAAGTGGTAGCTTGTCTCACCATGTGGTAGATTTACCCAGTCACTGATTCTTAGAATAAGTCGCTTGGTCCGCGCGCGCCTTTATCATTTTTGTCTTCCCATTCCTGCTGCCACCAACCCTCAATATTCTCATCAACCATTTCCCTAGCCTCTTCGGTTCTCTTTTGAAGCAGTTGCCTTAATTAAGTCCTTCCTCTCGCCATAAGATGAACCAGCTCTCAATGCTATTGCGCCCTGTGGGCCTAATGTAGGTGTCTATGGTTATGAAACACTATCGATGAATTCCACTCGGGGGCCGTATACAGCCTA